TGAAAATATCGTTAAATTTCTCATGAGAAATTTAACGATATTTTCATTTGAATGTGAAAATTATCAGTGTGGGTCTTAAACTGATTATAGAAGAATAATGCATTTGATAGAGAACATGTCAAATGCAAAGCATCATTTTCTCGACATTATCCCAGTGATAAAATATTTCATTAGTTTTTCTTTTATATACGTAATTATCATGCATTTTCTTAGAGGATCGACAAGCTCAAGCTCGTATACGTTCTATTGATTCATACATGTACCTCTTCGGTGTATTTGATGGTCATGGTGGTCCTTGGTGTTCGGATGCTGTTGGACAATCTCTTTTCGAATATATTGCTGTTTCATTACATTCACCGGATGAATTAGAACCTATACTACGCAAAGGTAAAACTATGACAAATAGCAATAAAAATTCTAGTCAAAATTCACGCAATATTTCATCATTACTTCTACGTTCATATTATAATGCATATAAAGATGCACGCAATTCAAAAAACAAAAGAAGTTCATCAAAATAATTTATTAAAACATATTGAAGAAGTCTATACATCATTCGATAATGATAATACGGATATAATGAGTGCATTAGAAAGTGCATTCATTAAATTAGATCGAGATATATGTACTGAAGCAATACCAAATGCTGCAGAAGAAATGAATGAAGATTTATTACATATAAGTACTGCTGGTTCATGTGCATGTGTTGCATTAGTTAAAGATGCTGATCTTTATATTGCGAATTGTGGTGATGCACGAGCAATTCTTGGTAAAGTTTTATTTTAATATATACAAAATATTTAATTCTATTTTCTATCCTATTAGGTACAATTGATGATAATGGTAATCCATCTGTTGTATCTCTTTCGATTGATCATAATGTACGTAATGAAAATGAAGTTAAACGTATTTTATCTGAGCATCCATCAAATGAATCACATTCAGTAATTCGTAGTGATCGTTTACTTGGTTTATTAATGCCATTTCGTGCATTTGGTGATATACGTTTAAAATGGCCAATAAATTCTCTTCGAGAATATTTACAACCTTATTATAAAAAAGGAGATGCTATACCACAATTTTATTTTACACCACCTTATTTAACTGCACGACCTGAAATTACCAAACATAAATTAACTAAAAAAGATAAATTTCTTGTTTTAGCAACTGACGGCCTTTGGGATTTATTATCACCAGAAAAAGTTGTTGAACTTATATTTAATCATCAGAAAGGTATACAAAGTTTTGATCGTTTTATATTAAATAAAACTGGAACGAAGAAATCATCATTAAAATTAAAAGAAATAAGTGAATTATTAACTGCGCGACAACAGGCAATCAAAAATCAACCAATAGATCAAAATTCTGCTACTGATTTAATTCGTCATGCACTTGCGTTTACATCTAAAGGACAATTTGATAGTAAACTCTTATCGGATGTATTAACATTTCCTAATCCACGCTCAATTCGTGATGATATTACAGTAACAATTGTTTATTTCGATCAAGATCATATTGATCAAATTGATACAAAAGAAAAACAAACTGGAAAATAATTCGTTTTGACGCAGCACATATTTATAAAGTCAATAGAATAGATCTTAGTTATAATAATATTTCAGCGCGTATATATTTGATTTTCTTCTATTTTTTTGTTAAATTTAATCTGAATAAAATAATAAAGATGCGGCAGCGATTTCCTTTTGTACCATGATAGTTATTGAAATAATAATGATGTCACAAACAGATATGAGTACTGATGTAATTGAAAAGAATAATAGTGATTTATTGAGTGGAACATATCCAATTAAAGTTATGGCTTATAAAGTAGATACACCATTATCGATATCAACATTGGGTAATGGAAATAATTCATTGAATTATACAATTGAATTGCATATTGGTGAACGAGAAAAAATTGGTCAAGGAACTTTTGGGTATTGAATTTTTGTGTATATATTAGAATTATTTTGAAGATATAAATTTCGAATAGGAAAGTTTATAAAGCAAAATTATTGACGACGCAAGAGATTGTTGCAATAAAAGAAGTTGAAATGGAAGAAAAATTTAAATCTCGTGAATTAGATATGCTTAAAACAATGATTCATCCAAATATAGTTCGATTAAAATATTTTTTTCATTCATCATCATCAATAAAAGATCTGTTATGTTTGATTATGGAATTCATGCCAATGAGTGCTCATCGTTTAATCTCAGATTATCGACGTAATCATAAAATACTTCCATTATTTTATATAAAATTATTTTCCTATCAAATGTTACGAGGTCTCGGATATTTACATACACAAGGCGTTGTAAGTAGGTATTTGTATAAATAGATTTGTTTTTATTTAAATTCATATTTATTTCATAGGCACATCGTGATGTTAAACCTGCGAATATGATTGTTGATTATGAAGCTGGAATATTAAAAATATGTGATCTTGGAAGTGCAAAAAAATTGAATAAAAATGAAAAATCTGTTTCATATGTAAAAATGAAATGAATAAAAATTTTTTCTTATATATTTATTTCTCTTCTAGGTATGTACTCGTTATTATCGGTAAGTTAAAAACAAGTACCGCTCGTCCGAGGATTCGCTTAGCTCTTTCTCGTAGAAATCCATTTTCTGGAAAAACAAATGAAAACCGTGAAAAAATGATTTTCGATGTTTTTTTGACCTTTCCCCTTCACACCATGGTTGAATATTTTAAAACAAATTTAGAGCTCCAGAATTATTGCTTGGTTGTACTGAATATACAACAGCTGTTGATATTTGGTCAGCTGGTTGTTGTTTAGCTGAATTTTTAAATGGTTATGCTATATTTCGTGGGATTGATTCTAGTGATCAAATGTATCGAATAATAAAAATAATTGGAATTCCAACACGTGATGAATTACGTGAAATGAATTCACGTTATACAGGTTCAGTTGATTTAACTATAATTACATTTACACCACGTACATTACGTGGTTATTTACCTGAACATACACAAGAATCAGCATTTATTCTACTTGAACAATTATTAAAATATAAACCCAATGAACGTATAACATGTCAAAATGCACTTGCATCCGAATTTTTTATTGAATTAAAACAACGTTCGATTTTCTTACCAAATAAACGTATTTTACCATCATTATTTAATTTTTATGATAATGAATTATCAAAACATTCACATTTATATTCAGCTATTGTACCTGATTTTATACGAAATAATCTTGCTGAGATACATGAGCTTGATAATCATACGTCATCATTGAAATAAATAAATTTTCTTTTTTCTCCTTTCTGTATTATAAATGTGTTTTTTTTCTCACATGATACACTTTTATTGACATACCGCGATTATACTTGTATGATGAAGATACATCGTCGATTTCGAGTCGCAAAAAGTGAGAATAATAAAGAACATTTAATAGAAAATAATACTAAACCTAATCATTCAAAGGTACGATTTTCTACAAATTTAACAATGTAAATTTGAATAGATTTTATTTAGATACGTCGTGTAGTATGGAAATTTGCAAAAGGAACATGGAAAGCATTTAAAATTGGTTTCAAAACAAGTGTCGCTAATCAACCATTTTCGGTTGCCCTTGAACCAACAGCAATAGCGACAACTGTACTAGAATATCAAACATACAAAAGACAGCGACATCATTGAGAATATGTCAGATTCATTTTTCTAATATAAAAACGCTTTATTATCATAGTTTATATCTGATAAAAAAATACAATACATAAATCTATCTGACTAGTTGTTCTTTATATATCTAAGAAGAAAATAATACTAAATATTATACGTATAAGCACCGGGAGTTGAAATATCTAAAGTTGAAGCTGATTTGCATAGATAATCAATGTCATCATCGTCATATAATGATTCATCATTAGGTGTATGTAATTCAATTGTTGAAAGTGTTATTGTTTCATTAATGACTCGTGGATCAATATGTGTATCAAAACCAAATGAACCAAATGGTCTTCTTGATTGTCGTCCACTACTATGATCAGATGATGGAGTTGTTGATGATGGAACAATATTCAGAAGTAAATTATGTGATGGTCGTTTACTTGATATGGGTGTAACCATATCTTCATAATCATGTTCTTTAGCAGTTTTATTTTCAATAGTTGAAAGTGTAGGAGGAAAATGAAATGTTGGTATAACTTGAGCTCGTTCAGCACGAAAAGTAGAACGATCAATAAGAGGAGATAAAGAATGTTTTATGATTGAAGTAAGTCGTTGAGAATAGGGTGTTTTTTGTGAATTTGCACCAGTTGCATCGTTATTTCCGGAAGATGATTTCTATTAGCAATTTGAAAACAAAAATTTTAAATCTTTTCATATGTATATATATATCTTACTGCTGATTCACAATGTTGTTCATTTGTTTTATGCTTATTTTTTAAAATAGAATGTGTAGAAGTTACTATACAGCTAGTAATAGGTGTAATCGGCAAAGGTGGTACTTGCGGAAGATGTTCAAGCTATTTTAGATACAAAAAAAACGAAATTAATATATATAGAATTCTAATATAATATACATTAGATAATATATGTTTATTTTTATCATAAATATCATCATAATATCCACTTGTAGTTGCTGTTTGTGGTTGTCTTATAGTTCGTTCATAATTATTTAATGATGTTCTTGAAGTAACATTCATAGGAGTCATATTATTTGTTAATGGTAAAGATGAACCTGAATCACAATATTGTCGATTAATTCTATCCGTATTTGTTAGCTTTGGTACAAGTTGTTGATTATTCTTTGTTGTTTTTTGTCCAATAACCCATGGATGTATTTTTGCCCATGAGCTAAACCAGTTAAGATCATATCGGCTATCAAGTACACCGGGCATTCGTTTATCGAGATAAGCAAAAACTTTTTGTCGTTTTGTTACTGATTCTTGTGTAGCTGCCCAATGTACTGGTGTTAAATTTGCATGATCTTTTATTCTTAAACATTCATATAGATGTTTATCTTCTTTTTTTTGTTGTTGTTCTTCATCTTGACAATCAACATCTTTTCTTATTGATAGTAATAAATGTAAAATAGGTACATTTGCTAATCGACATGCAATATGAATTGCTGTATGTCCAGCAGAAAGACGTCTAGAAAAATTCTTATAAAAAAAGAAAGGAAACTTATAATAATTAAAACTTACAATTTCGGATCGGCTTTATTTGCCAAGAGACATTCAACAGAAAGTACTTGATTATAATACGTAGCTGTCGATAATGCTGATTCACCATAGATATTTAATTCATTAATATCAACATCTATGAATAAGTTATATATCGATCATATAGTCAGACATTTGATGAGTACGTATCTCATGTCATTACTCACTATGTATTTGTAAAGATTTTTGAATTTTAGATGTTTGACCTAATCGTGCATACTGACAAAATTCATCGGCATTGGCCATGATCTGAAAACACAAACCTTGGGTTTTTTTTTGGCCTGATTTTTGTTTAGTACATTGCATTTATAACTTAGTTTGTAAACAAATATCAATCATGTTTTTGTTTTTCTTTATAAACATACAACTAACGTTATTTTAACACAAACGATTTAATTGTTTCAAGTAGAAACACAGAATACAAAAAAATATATAATATAAGGCAATGTTTTATGATGTTCTATACGGATGACTACGCTGTGATCTTGTTATAGATGGTAATTGTTTATTTAAACGATTTCTTCCTAATGTTGAACTAGTCGTTGATGAATTGGATGCAATCGATTTTGTAGTTGCTGTTGATGATGCTGATGATGAAGTTTTCTTTTCACTTCGTCGTTGTGTTTGTTCCATAATTAATGGCCAGAAAATATCTGATGCAAGGGCATTTACTGTACGATCATGTTCAGCACGTGATTTCATTGGTGAAGATTCTTTATG